TATATGTAGGATCTATATGTTTTTTGTGGATTGTGGTTTGACGCCACATCTGTTCCAAGGTTTAGCTGGAATTTTCATGATACAAATAACAGCTCATATTCTAAACATACTTTGTATGTACGAATGTGAGCTGCTATATGTATGTCGAAAATTCGAGCTGAAAAATTTTGAAAAGTGCATCTTTTGCTAACGTGAAATTGCCATAGAACGCAAAAAACGGTGTTTACGCAGAGCTAGCGTTTAATTTTATAAGTATTGGTAAGTGGTCGATTACACAGGAAATCCAGAAAATAATTTTGCTTTACAGGGAGACATGTTTTTTTTAATTTGTTTTCTTTGAAAATCAAACCATTTTGTCAATCAAGTCATTGTAATCTCCATTTTTCTCAATCACTTGGTCTTTTACCAAGCCAGAACTGAAGTCCGGTTCCTCTGAAAGTAGTTTGAAAACCTCACATTTTGAAAATGGGTGAAAATTTCGTAATCAAACACTCGTAATGACCTTTTCGATATCTCGCTTCTAGAACTATGTTCCACTTAAATAGTGGAAGCCTCAGTGGCTTTCACCAAACCCACATTTCGTAGGATAATTTATGTCTCGGGAACGGTTGAAAATATCAAAATAATCAGCAGAACCTTTTTCATAGAGCGTCTTAAGGACTATCTTTCCTCATTTATAAAGGTTAAAAAATCCGCATGGTATCAAAGTTAGAAGCGAAATGTCAATTTTTCTGAGCATGTTGAAATTCAAGATATTTTATTATAGACACTGTTCGGAATGTCTGATCAGCCCTAAACAGCCATTTTTGGATAGAGCATTTCGAGAATTATGTTTGACTCATTAGGTTCTATGAGAGATTCCTAACCTCTGAAGAGATAAAAGGAAAAATAGTTTCATAAAATATATAGCAATAATTATAAAATATATTTGCAATTCAATAACTGCTTTAATCAGCCACCAAAAATATTCATAACCGCTCACAAATACAGTCGCTACATACAATAAATACATACCCACCTAAAAATTATTAATTAAATATGTGCCTGTCAATTTAATATTACTTGTAATTATTAGCTTCGCTGTAAAAAAAATTGTCGGCTGACAAAATGTATTTTCCGCGCAGCAAAATATTCTATAGGCACAGAATTTCTCGTTATTTTTTAGCTCAAAAATGAAAGTGATGCTACTATTTCAATTTCTACCTTCTGAGTTCGTCAGGTTGAGCCAGTCATATAACATCAAACCGTAGCCAATTTTCACTTTGCTCATTACGGATGAGTATTATCAGGAAACTATTTAATTTCCATCAATAAGTCTAGCGGTTTAATGATGACAGAACACACAAGTTCCATAAAACTGTATAGCTTATCGGGACATAATTACGCAATTCTGCATGGTTTGATTTATTAGCCTTCACCGACGTGCTTTGGCTTAGCGGAGTATGTCGAAAATTCACAATTGATGTTTTAGGAACCGAGTATCTAGATTATAAGCTAAAACATTTTCATAAATTGAGGATATAATTGTCTGGTCCCATGTAACATAAGCTCTATGGAGCAAATGCAAATTATTGGAATCATAGGCATACTATAATAAAAATGGTACAGAAGTTAGAAACTGGAGTTTGAAACACAGTTTGAAGACTGAAACACGGCACTTTGTGAATGATGCAGACACACATGCTATGATTATAGTAATATTCGGTCAATGATTTACGGTTTTGCTGGATTTTGTTTGTGTTATGCACATATTTTGACCCTAAAGATCGGTTTCATCGACCCACTTTCATCATGATGCTACTGCTATATTCAGTATTTCACTCATTTTTAGTTCATTCATATTCTTCACTAAGTTGTCGCTCCAAAATGCACACTTTTTCTGGCGCTATGATGATTGTGACATTTGTTAACAATATTCTGTATTGTACCTTGAATGAATACCAAGAAATACAAAATTATGTGAGAAACCTTTACGAAAAGGGTGCAAATTTGTATTAAAAACAGCTATAAATTTGTGAAAAATAAAAGTTCCTAAGATAGTCTGCTTTTCATTTACAATTTGAAGCAACATGAATGCAATTCTGAATGAAAGAGAAGAAAGGAATATTAATCGAATTCAAGAACAAAAACCTGTCATACCGGAGATGTTTCATGGACTTGATACCTCGCTTCCTACTTGAGCAATAAGATAATTTATACAAACCTTTCCAGGAAATCATATTCTGCTCATTTTCATTGCTCAATAAACATGAGCGTCATTTGCATTTTGCAGTTAAGAAAATCTTAAGTCGGAAAAGTCAAGTAGACCTGCGGGACAAAGCGAGAAATATTTATAAAGGATTGCTAATCATTGCTACAAAATTCTCTTTTGTGACTGAAACATGTATAATGCAGATTCATTATATGAGATATACAGGAGGATTCAGTGTACACATTACAGGCCGCCAAAATTCAATAATTTTATAATATAGAAATAATAATTATGATGATATTTTTATATATGGTGTACTAAAATAATGTTTATTACTTGATCATGACTATCTGAAGAATTCATAAAACGTATTCTTCCATTGTTAAATATAACGCTCCTAGCGAAAATCAATTCGTCACTGAGTAGAATAAACGCTGGAATTTGGTATACGTACCCAAAACACATTTAAACTAGTTTGGGACTAAAAATTATTGGGACATGATTTTTTAACCTTCTGACGTGAATAGGGCCCTAAATATTGTTGGGAACAAGTTTGCAACACATTTGTTTCTCTTTTCGAAAATTGGCTAATCGAATAATCTCCTTTTTAAACCATCGTGTGCATATTTGCTAAACCGCGTACTTCAAATGCACCATTTAAACATACCAATCAATTTTCGCAAAAGTAATATAAAATGGCCTTGGGCGATTTCTTCTTGTCAAATCTTTTTTGCGAATTTTCCTACGGGTCTACTCTTTTGTGAATGTTTTTTATATTCATTTATATTATGCTCAACATCATACTGTATGCAGCGCACGTAATTTTAATCATGACTTTCATTGCAACAACCACAAAAAAATATATAAAATCTCTTATAGAAAAACTTTTCACTAATATCAAACATTGGTATGCCATTATCACTGAAACTGTGCGTATTTATACACAGGTTCATCTAACACTTAAAATCTGTAATGGGTCATCTGAATGTACATAAATACGGAAATATCTAGCAATTTTTCTCCACGTAATACTACTAATAACACGACAGTAAGCATTTGATCATTTTCTGATTAATTACAGCTGCCTGCTAAAGTATTGTTGCTTTACAGATTTTAAATATCAATTATTTTATGTAAAACTGCAATTGCATATTGATTGCAAGCTGGTGTTATGCCCGAAAAAGTTCAATACGCGTGGGTCATATATACTTTTGGGTTAACTGGCACAAAAGTGCTCACTTTAAGGAACAAAAATTGCCTGCGAAAGGTGTACAAAATTCTTTAAGGCTCTCCATTTGTTTCAATCCAATGAAATAAAGAACACCAGTCACGTTTTACTTTTATCACATTTGCCCTTAGAAATTATGGCGCTAATAAAAAGTTGAGCTTATCCTGCAAAAACAGATACATGACCCTACGGAGGACTCATATCCTGTAATAAAAGCACCAATTAATTTGCTGATAAAAAGGTCAATTTTTTTCTTTATGGACGTAGGTGAAGTTGAAGTAGAATTTTAAATTTTGATTTTGTTCTATTTATTGATGTCATTTTGGGCAGTAACATTTCCCAACGTGCAATTTATCTTTAGTGATTTTTGTATATATTTAATACCCTGTAGCAAACAGGGTGATTCAAAATGTGGATCGTGCTTCTTGAGGAGTGACTGAAGTTTATTTATATGGCACACAACAGACATAATAACAACATTCCTGGAACAAATTCGCTTTTGCAGATGCAAATCAAGCTAAGTTCTTCAATGGCCATTTGGTTTACTAGATTTAGTATAGACAAACCTTACAAAGAAAAGCGTGCAAAGGTGTTTAACAGGCAACTTACTGATATTTTCTGTTTGGCAAAATTGCAAAAAGCGTAATGCCTAGAATTCCGGACTCTGGTTATAAACCTATTAAGATACGTCTAAACTTGCGAAGTCGACATGCAGACTAACTAGAGATTCAAAACCTTGAGAAACCTAATTCAAAATATGCTAATTTTTTTCACTTAAATTTACACTTTACCCCCCAGCAGCCCTGCTGCTGTCGAAAGCGCTTGGCCATATGCAATATTCAAGGGTTCAATTAAGATATACTCTTGATTAATACACACTTCATTACAAAGGAAGTCTCGTATGATCGCAATTTATTTTTTGCTTATATGATCACCGATTTCAGCTATTGATTTCCGAAATTTACGGCCCCAAAATAATAAGTAATATTTTCGTCGATCCACTACCCAATTATCCTTTTAGGAAACCGAATCGAAACTGTTTCCACCTAATGGTTAGAGCTGATATATTTCCTCTTCTGGAAATTGTGTTCAATATTATTACGAAATCTTGCGTGAAGAAAACCATTAGGAGTCGGAACTTGACACTTTCCTCTAAAATTAAAAAAGTTGGAAAAGTCGTATATCAAAAAAGAACATACAAAGGGCGCGCGCAATTCTTATACTACCACAAATTTATCCCGTCGATCTAAAGGGTCTTCCGATTATTTCTCTTCTGTATGCATCCCGACGCGCACGGACGCCTATCTCGTGGCTTCGGTCATATCGTCGCGACGCTTTTAGAAAAGTGGCTTGTTGAATTTATTTGGGACTGCTCGAAATTGTCCTAATCGGGTCGAGATAAATTGCCAACTTCGAGGCATGTAGTTGTACTTGCTGCAAGAGACGAATATCAATTATTTGAAATAATTAAGGTAGACTGGTGATGTGATAAAAATGTGGTCTTTAACAGTGTTTGTTATTCTTTGTATGTTGTTGAATGCAGTACGAGGTAAGAAATTAATAAATTGCGACCATACAATACAACTCGCAGTTTATCACTGTGCACTGGGCTACTGAATACTGTGATTTTAAACTCTTCTTGGCATGCGCTTTTGAAACATGTTCGAAGGATGAACTTTTCTCCATTCGTTGAAACGATAAGCTGCCGGTTGACATAAAAGGTTTAATATCATACTATTTATCAAGAGTTTTATATTTTTGTAGTCCCATCTAAAAACGATAAAAATATTGAACTCCGATTTATACCTTCTGCAAAACGCACTGCTAGAACACTAACCAAAATACATAGATGCGGAACTTAAGAAACAGCATTAGATGCTCAAGGAATCTTCTATATGGAATGGAGAATTGTTCAATTTGGATCAAATTTTAACACTTGAACATGGTATTGCAATTTAAAAATACATTTCAGTCGTACAGGATATTATTGATCATATTACTAAGAAATATGACCAAAAGTTTCTGAGATTGTAACAAAATAAGCAAACATTAGTGTTCCCCAAATCGTGTATTCTTGAGCGGCAGTTTACAGGCGATTGAGACGTTTAGCTTCCGACGAGAAAAATATCGACAATAAATCAGGGTAACGTCAGCCTGTACGTTCCCAACCTAAATCTATGGATAAAGCTTTAGTTGCTTGTGAAGGGAACATGTATGTAGATATACAAGGATGAGTTTATTTGCTAATTAAAACCTACTCTTAACCCATACACTTAATATGATTTGTTCTGTGGAAAAAAGGGACACAAATCTAGTTTTGAAGCGATTTTGTTAATTATTTGCAAGTACATTTTCATTCTAATCATTAAGCTATCTAGAATCTAGTCAATTTTTTTTTTAAATCAGTTCAAACGTCAACATTTATTGATTAATCGCATCATTTTGGTTAAATAATTGTAACTGCTTCCAGAGGTGATATATTGTCATGAATAAAAAAAAATAAATGTTAAGTAACCATCCAGCTTAACAGCCGCACGGTTAAGTAAAAACAACTCTTGGTTTCACGCAGCATAATGACAAACCAATTGAAACTATTGGATCAAAATCATAGAGGTTAAATATTGAGATGAAAATGTTTACAGCAGTCCGAAAAAAATATCTAAACCGAGTTATGACTAAAAAGCTATACAAGATTTAAATTGAATTATATTTCACGAATTCGATTTTTTTTCAAGAGTGTAAATAATAATAAAATTTATGAATACTTATTTGAAAATCACTTACTATTTATGACCATTTCTATTTTCGACTTAAGCATTTATTCAGAATATTTAAACATGGGCGTAATTCCTCTGGAGGTATATTTGGAGAGTACGGGAAAAACATATTATTTTAAAACACACAAGCATACAAATGCTTTCTTATTACCCCTCTAAAGTGGCATTTAAGTGGTTTGTCTCATGAGAACATATATGTTTGTACCAAACATGTACTTGTACCATATTTAGTAATCTTTTCAACGTTAAAGGAAAACAAAAATTGAAAGTAAGTTTTAAAGTATTGCTTTACTTCGGTATGGTTGCGGCAAAATGAAAATTTGTGCAGTTATGGACTATAGAGATATTCATAAAAACGGAATTGGAGTGAGATAAAATGCTATGAACATTAAAAGTTTTCTTACACCTTGCAGCACCCTGATAATATTTTCAAAATCAAAAAATGCGATAATAAAACATTCATGAAACCGAAAAAAGCAAGTACTGCATTAGCAATATGCTTATTTAGTTATGTATTTAGGACAAAGTCTTTACAGAGTTTAATTAAGGAGCATTCATTGCGTAACAATTATATTTTACTGGTTATTTTTGATCGCTTCCACGTCAAAAAAGCTGTTTTTCGTTGGAACCGCCTTTAGCAGAAACTAAGTTTCATATTTGTGGTATAAACAGATCGTTTTTCTGTTAATATAAATGTACCTCTTGTGTCATCACTTAGCACTTTCGATCAAATATATACATTCTGGAAATGTTCTTTCAGAAAATCACTCGTTATTTTCGAGTGCGTATTCTTTAACAGAAGATTTGAATTTACCAGGGTATTCCAAAATTAAGACACGACTCTCAAGTCGAAGATCTGAAATAGAAAGTTGCAATTCTTGTTGAAATTTTGAAACCTACATACAAATGCAAATATTTTTATCTAGGTCCACATACATACTCTATGCAAATATTTACCTATTTTAGAAAAGCTGATCGTATCAGATGCAATAAATTTAATAGTAAGAAGCAACACTGATTTACGTTCGTAAATGCTGAAATTGAAATCCGTCTTGTTCGTGACAGTATCACACACGATCCACCATTTCATGCTGCACCAAAAATTCAAGATTTTAATGGTTTTTCCATCTCTCTTGAAAACGTTACCTTTCACGTAGGAAACTGAGTGTGTTGTTTACTCATCTATTTAGTATTTTCCTCATGATTGGTGGAAAAGTTATTATTTCGTCAAAAAAATATTCGTCCACGGTGTTTATTCTTTGTTTAATCGTCTACAGAGCCTGCATATCTAAATTTCTTTCAAATTTGCTGACTACTCACGGGGCTTTAGTCCTTCCGGGTAATTATTTTTAAATGATGATTATCACCATAAGTACTTTAGTTCTTTGTATTAACTGTAAACGCATTTGCATTTTGCAAAAAAGTTCAATTTAAATTCATAAGTAAGGAACATCAAGAATGTACTCTTTTATCGAAGGGATTGTATAAAAATATCTGACAATGCCCAAAACATTAGCTCGATCTGTATGGTGGCCGTTTACCTTTTGAAATTTAAACATTTAGTCCAAATGCCATTGTTTCGCGCAAATAGGTAAATACGAAACTAAATACCATCAAACATTGTTATGTGGAAAATACTCAAAGTTTTAAGCTTTTTAAGCAAGAATTTAAAAACCCAACCAGAAACGAGGGCTCTAAGTTCAAATCTGCTACTTGGGGATCAGTATGTGAAAACATATAAAAAAAGCACTGAAAAGGAAGTAAACACGTTCCTGGGTATTTTACGGAAGTAAACTTTCTTTTTGGACACACTGTATATTCTTCTAATCTTATTAAATGATAGACGGTCAGATTTCGTGAGATTTGTGAATTGTGGTTGTAGATGCATATATATACTCGATGAAACTCTGAAATTTGTCGCAATATATTTTGTTTTACCGCAGTCCTTTCCCTACATACTTTCTGATAAAACTGTACCATAAACTTAAAGTAATACAATTTGCCCTTCGTATAGTTCAGAAACAAACGGGTTGTGAACAATTCAAAAAATGTATTACATTCAGTTATGAAAATAGTTTCGAAACCCTACTGCTGAAAGTTTGCGCAGCAAAAATTGTTAATTAATTTGAGCATGCCAAATGCTTGTTAGCGTAAACGTTTAAACTTGCAATTAAACTAAGCGCGCCGAACAACTAAAAGCTTTTGAATCAGTTGGTTTAACGTAGGCTTCTAGCTTCAAATAACTAACGTATTAAATAATTTAAGTTTGTGTTATCAACCTTGAATGGTTTTTAAAGAAATACACGGTTAACTAATTTGCAATTGTAAAATATACTCTTGTGATTAATCCTGAAGTTACAAGTAGCCTTTACATCTATTGCAGGCTTTATTGCACAAAGTTATCATATATTTAACTTTAAAGTATACAGCGCTTTTGAATCAATTGCAGCAAAAGCTAGGAATTTTTACATAAAATTTCAGTGTCTGTCATCAACCCCTTAGGCGTCACAGTCGCCCTTTCGCAATTCTTGAGTGACCTTAGATTATTCTGCAAAGAATGCGTTCTATTGTTTTGTATAAAGCTTGAAACTGTGTGTAGCATATTCAAACGATCAAAATAAATCGCCACCACCATCACAATAAAAAACAGTTAATCGCGACGCTTTTAAAATAGAAACTCTTTAAAATCTACCGAGGGCACTAGACACAATGCGTATAAGCCCAGAAAGTCAATCAACATCTATTGGACCCAAAACCAAAAACCTAAACATTAGCACTTCTGATGTGACTCTTCATCTTAAATTGGATACATAAATTTCCTTTTCTCATGCCTTATTTCGATGTGATAACAACATTAATGCAAATCATGAAATAGCAGCATTAAATATTTTCAAGATGCAGTGTTTTATTTTAGTTTGCTTCAGTTCACTGCTAATTTCAAGGTGTTAACCATGTTAACCAGGAATCTGCTAATAAACTTTTGCTAAATCATACTCAAAACTACTAAACCTAATAATTAAAATGTGGTTTAATTTAAATCATATACTTTATGGCTCGTGTTTTTTCTCTGCCAACAATGTACGGAACTATATCAGCCAATTTATTTTTCCATCTCGGAAAACCTAGGTCTTTCCGTGAAAAGCGCCAGCAGTAATTTAATTATATTTCAGTAGATATATGGAAATTTTATTCAACGTTGTACAAGAATGAACTACAAACAATCCTAAGCGGATTGAAACAGAAAATTCATTATTTTTATAATTAAAACGCATTTAGAGAAGTTGTGGCCGTACCGAGTGTGTTTTTATTGATTCATTTAATTGAAATTGTCCGAAATTTAACCATGCAAAATAGTAATCTCTTAATCGTCGTAATAAAAATAAAAATAGTAATCGTCTTCAGTTATGTGTCTATATAATCGAATTTATATCGAGTACATGGTTAGGTGGATAATATTCGCCTCAAAAATGAGAATCGGTCGGTTTACAAAGTTTTAAAAAAAAGATAACATTTGCCTTGATTTTACACTATTCCTGCGATAATGTATATAGAACATTTGGAAGACACATTCAGTAACTGTTACCGTATAATACAGATAGCAATGTTAACAAACAGACGATTTTTTCTTCCTCGTTTATGAGTTTCACAAATTCTAGTTCAAATTTACCTGTGCACTTATGCAGTTTATATTCAGTTATTTATTCACGATGTTTCCTAGTATTTCTAAACCGTTTGTTGGAGTGAACAATAATTTAAGTGTGCTTGCAATGCA